GAATGAAGAACAAAGACCTGGAGCTGGAGAAAAGCTTGGATAATATGGTATTACTTAAGTTTAGAGAGAAAAGGTTTTGCTTAAGATTTTGAGCAGATCCTGAATATCTTGGTTAAGACATTAAAAAGGTAATGATTCAGACATTGTCAAAACTATTGACAAGGTAAGCTACCAAAATCTATCTCTCTTTTTTAATTTGATTGACAGTTTGGCTTTGATAGACTCTTGGAGATAGAAAAATGGACATTCAAAAGAATACTTTTTTTTCAGAAAGACATAAATCCTTTTCAAGAGTTGATATGATAAGGATTTCAATTTTTTTGGCTAACAAGATAGTCCAAGTAGACATTTTACCAAAAACTTTTTCTGATCGCAACCCATATTAGTTTTATGTATAAAGTTGTGGAAAATATGGATTTGCGGGCAATGTTAAATGGCATAGAAGTATTAATCCAAGAAATCCTATGGATTTTTATTGCTCTTCTTTTAAAAATCATAATATTGTTAATCTTATGTTCTATTAATATTTTATGTAATGTATTATGTGGATGCGGGTGTATTCTGTGGGAGTGTATGAACTATGTTGCTGAGGGAGCATTTTTAAACTCAATAGTAGTGTAATTATTTGTAGGCTGGGCTTTTTACAAAATGCAATACTATATGATGCTAAAGCATCTTAATCCCATTGAAGTCCTCTGGTTTTCTGCCTGGCTCACTGTGAGCCAAGCGCGACTGTGATTCAATTAAGCACCTCCACGAAGTGTTACTAAATCACCATTGGACACTGTGCTATTTTAAGTAAGAAAGCAAAGAGATAATCTCTGTTCTTATTTCCTTGTCATATTTACAGTTTTTATTGGTTTATAAGATAAAATACAAAAATACAAAAGCAAATAGTAGAAAAAAATAAGGAAGGGAAAGGGGAAAGGAAAAGTGTAGAAAAGAAGGGAAAAAAGAAAAAACAGCATTGACTTATTTCCTTGTGAGTAAATAAACTATTGTGATGAATGCAATGCTTTTAAAACTTGGCAATGTTAAGATGTATGGATTTTAACATTCGGGCTGGGGAATTCTGGAGTTGAAGTCTGCATATCTTAAAATTGTCAAGTTTGAAAAAACACTGATCTAACAAGCCATTCCTCTGGGAAAGGAACATTGCAGAGAGACACCTTAAGTTTAAGGGAGATTGGAAGCATGATAAAGAGACTCAGAATAACCTTAATTATGCTAGGTATAAATTTAGCAGGAGTAGTGCTTTGTCAGGGTTTCTGTTACATTACTGTACTAGCAATAAAATCACCTCCAGAAATATGTTTGTTGTTTCCTCAGTTCGCCAGCCTCACCAGCCTGAATACTGCCGTTATCCTCAGCTGTGTGCTTGGTGCTTTCAATATTTTTTAATTAACAAGGTGGAAGTCCCACTGAGATTGGCTCATTATACCATCAATCTCAGGCAAAAGCTTGCCCTTCCTGTCACCCATAAAAGATGAAGGGCTCCTCTTACCCCCCCTTTCAGGAGGGTGAAGCATTTTGCAGGATTCCCTGGATGGCTCCTAACATGGGTTTCTTGCATTCTGGGGTCCACAGTCTAAATAAGCTTGTATCTTGAGGCTCTTGATCTGCTCTGAGCCTGGTTGTTTTCCTGCAGACGTTTCATTAGTGCACTGATGATGTTATTTAGTTGGGTCAAAGAATTGAGGCCTTTGAACTATGGTGCTGGAGAAGACTCCTGCGAGTCCCTTGGATTGCAAGGCGATCAAACCAATCAGTCCTAGAGGAGATCAACCCTGACTGCTCTTTAGAAGGCCAGATCCTGAAGATGAAACTCAAATACTTTGGCCACCTAATGAGAAGGAAGGACTCCCTGGAGAATGCTGGGAATGATTGAGGGCAAAAGAAGGGGACGGCAGAGAATGAGGTGACTGGATAGAGTCACTGATGCAGTCGGCGTGCGCTTAAATGGTCTCTGGGGGATGGTAGAGGACAGGAAGGCCTGGAGGAACATTGTCCACGGGGTCACGATGGGTTGGACACGACTTCGCAACTAACAACAATAACAATGAAATATCTGCAAGAAAACAGTCAAGCTCAGAGAGCACCAAGGATTCCAAGGACCCTGATTGTTGGGGGCCATATGCTGACTCTGCAAACCACTTAGAGAGGCCTGTAAAGCGGTATATAAATTTAAATGCTATTGCTATTCTACAGTTCAACCCTGACCCACAAATATTTTATCAGAAGCTTGTATCTCCAGGCTTCCAATAGTGAGAAGGATAACGGAGTCCATGCTTGCAATACTGAGAGGTTGGTATGCTAGCATTTGGGAAACCCAACCCAGGTTGATAGACAGGAGCCTTAAGGCAGAGTTAAGCTCCAATTGGGATTATACTGGGTTAGCAGACATCCAGCAAAAGCAGTATGTGACCTCCTTTTTGCCCTCATGAGCTCTATTCAGCAGGCAGTGCCTGAAATTCAAATACTGTGCAGCTTTTTGAGTATCTAAAAAGGTATCTTTTCTGGAGCAGCTTTTACACAGGACTTCCCCAATAAGTGCTAATCAGAAATTGATTAGCTCTGCTCTGTGACCTTAATTAGTTGATTAGTACCCTCCAGCCAACTTTGACTCCTGCCTAAAATTGATAAAACCGTAACCAATTACATGCTGAAGGCTTTTGCCTCCGAACCAGCTCTAGAACATTCCTGTGATTGAAAAACCAATATTTTTGATGCTGGAGAAAGTAATGTCATATACTACATGTATATCTAAGTACATTTTCTCTTTCTTTCTTTCTTTCTTTCTTTCTTTCTTTCTTTCTTTCTTTCTTTCTCTTTCTTTCTCTTTCTTTTTCTTTCTTTCCTTTTTCTTCCTTCCTTCCTTCCTTCCTTCCTTCCTTCCTTCCTTCCTTCCTTCCTTCCTTCCTTCCTTTCTCTCTCTCTCTCTCTCTCTCTCTCTCTCTTGCAGTTTTTCACTTTTCACTTTGTCATAGATGCAAAGAAAATTAAATAATTTCTCCTTCTTTCCCTCCCTCAATTTGTCCTCCTTTTCAATTGTCCATGAGATTTTTTGTCTATTCTGATTTCTAATAACCCTCGGACCAATGGATAAACAAAATCCTAGGACTAAGAAAATTGAGAAAAGGAGGATTATTATTACGTTGTATGTTATAGCTTTCTTAAGTATGTCTGAATAAAGAGATACAGCCATCCAAAATATTGCTTGCAGTAATTTGGAAGGAAAGGCTTGATCTTTATTTTTTATTGATTCTATTGTAATTTCTTTGTTTGCTGTGAACCTTCATAGTCATTAATAAATTCTGGTTGTTTGCCTAGTCAGCCAGATGTTTAGCCTGGATTTGGCATTTTTATCTCTATGTCGAGTTCTTCCCAAAGAAGAATGTTGCTTTTTTTGATGGTGTATACCAAGGGTGTCAAACTTGATTTCATTGAGGGATGCATCAAGCTGTGTTTGACCTTGGGGGGGGGGGCATGGCCAGCTCAACATCACTCATGTCAGGGGAGTCTGTGGCAGCCCAAGAGCTCTGCCAGCAAAAATGGGCTCCTGAGCTCTGTTTTCGGCTGCGACGGCCTCCTGCAACCCTGTGCCAATGAAAATAGAGCGCGGGAGAGCCGCCCATGGCCCTCTCAAACTCCATTTTCAGCTGCGACAGCATCCTGCAACCCTCTGCCGGCGAAAACGGAGCTCGGGAGGGCCACCCACAGCCCTCTCGAGCTCCATTTTCAGCTGCAATGGCCTCCTGCAACCTTCAGGCCAGTCCTTTGCTATTTCCAGGGAGGCCCTGTGAGCCAGATCTAAGCAACCCATGGGCCAGATAAGGTCCCTGGGCCTTGAGTTTGACACCCCTGGTGTATAAGGTATCACCACAAGATGTAAGCTCTTCTTAGGATCAGGTGCCAATTTTCACAGAAGAGCAGTGGTGGGTTGTCCCCGGTTCTATACTACCGGTTCTATATGTTCTATAGAACCGGGAGTAAAACTGGAGGGAGGCTCTGCCCACCGACCCCGACATCATCAGAACACTTCTGTGCATGCACAGAAGAGCATGCGCGTGTGCAGCCCTGTTGCGAACCAGTAGTAAAGGTAAGTAGAACCCACCCCTGCAGAAGAGGATTTGGAATACGGAGAAATTAACAAATCTAAAGGCTGCAATGCAAAGCAATACTTTGCCTCTAAGGCAGGGGTGAAATCCAGCAGGTTCTGACAGGTTCTGGAGAACCAGTAGTGTAAATTCTGAGTAGTCCGGAGAACCGGCAAATACCACCTCTGGCTGGTCCCAGGAGTGGGGAGGGAATTGGGATTTTGCACTATCCTCCTGCCATGCCCATTAAGTCACACCCACCAAGCCACACCACACCACGCCCACCAAGCCATGCCCACAGAACCGGTAGTAAAAAAAATTGGATTTCACCATTGCTCTAAGGTGCGGAAATAGAAGCTGCTAGAATACTGGCAGGAATTCATTATTATCAGCCTCCTCAATTTTAATAAGAAATTAGTTGAGCAAAAGGAGAAATTGTATAAACAATACCTTAACTATGTGATTAAAATTGATTGCCACAAGATGCAAATGTAAAAAAGGAAAAGAAGATGCTGAGATTTTATGGTTCTTCTAAAAAATACGGTTCTGTCATACTTAGTCTGTCCGATATAAATCAAACTGGTCCTCTCCATATAAGCCTCTTTTGTAGAAAAGCTCCAACCCAAAATAGAGCATCATCTCCAAACAGTAATTCTTGATAGGGAAAAAAAGAATATTGTTGAAATAGTAACCCTTGCTACAGTACTCAGTCCCCAAAATACCTGTGAAAAAGTGGGGGGGGGGTTGGGTTGGAAATGGAAATCCAGCTGATGCACTCCAAGTTACTCAGCTCCAAGGTCTCTACTCTTTTAATTCTTGCTTAAGGAAATGGGGAGAAGAAAACTACTGGGAAAATAAATAACAAAATCAAAATTGGCATTTTCTTACATTCCTTCTAGGAGGCTGTCATTCCTGTGGGAATATTGAGCCCTGGAAATGAGATTGTCCCAAAGACATCAATTACTTTCAAGCATGAATGAGCAGCCCTAGAACAGAACAAATGTAAGTAATTGCATCTTAGCATGTCTCTTTTCTTTTCCCTCTACCGATTCTTTTGTGCAGTGTAAAATACCTGAAAAACTGCCTTTTAAGCACAGCACTTTCTTTTTTCAGTGTCCAGTCATTGATTCGTAGGGTATGCCTTTCTTTTCCTCTTTAGCACATATTGTACGAATTCGTTTGTGCAGTGCAAAATACCTGGAAAAACTATGTGCTGCCTTTTAAGCATATTAGCTCCCCTTTTCACTATCCAGTCGTTGATTCCCAAGATATCAATTTCTTTTCCTCTTTAGTACATAACTGTAGAAATTTCTAATTAATCTATTTCATGCCTGTCTCTTTTTCTTTCTATCACAGAAGTGAGCCTCACCCTTTTCTTCCATGTTCCTCTCCCCTCTTAGCCTTTTGGGAAAAGATGTGTTCTGCAAGCTGATAACTGCTATTTCTAGTATCTATATTTTTTTATTTATTTTATATCCCGCCTTTACTTACTGTGGAGGCTGTATTTCTTATGATTAGGCCTGTTCAAGAAGACAACCAAGAATTCCACCCCACCCATCCATCATTCTTCTGCTCCCAGAAAGACACCCTGCAAAAATAATCGGAAGGAAATCTTCCTTTCATTGGCTGAATGCATCACTTGAACAATCAAGCTTTTATAGCAACTCTGGAGAAATGCATCCCACAAGCTCTGGGGAGATATATGCTGTTTTTCTATAACTACAAGAATTAAGAAATAGATGAATTAAAGCTTGGGCTTTTTTTTCTATGTTAGAACATAGAAATGCTACAATTTATAGACACAACCTCTTTAATATTTATTAAATAATAATTATTTATTAAATAATAATAATATTCAGGTTTATTTCAGAAGTATTATTTCATACCATGTTTATTTCAAAAGTGCAGTGGAATGTTTATTGACTATGTTCATTTATCTATTTAATAGTGCATATCCAGTCTGATTGCTGAGCATTAGGCAATATCATTTTCCCAGGATTGTTATTAACAGTTTATTGTCTATAAATTATGGAGCAAGAAGGCAGATGAGATCACATGCATGGGCTAAATTGTATGAAATAAGAATGAAAAGGCAATAAAAAGAACGTTGATTGCTATTTTCTGTTCTGTACTTTTTCTGAATTCAGAAAATGAAACCATATTTACATTGTCAACTTTGCTGCTTCAATAAAATGCTAAACATGTGCACAGTGACATTTGATGTGTTCACACGGCATTGTTTTTCTACAAACAGTTGTTATATCTTTCCTGGTATGATTCACCGAGACTGTGTTTTCAGTAGCATTGAGCTGAAGATGATTAGTTCCTGGAATCAGACCCTCAATCGCTTGTGACCCACATATTTGGGATGACAATCTGTGTGCCAGGGATCAGCCCAGAGACTGGTGCCTCCTGCTTACAGTATATCCACCAGTTCTGTACCCTTGCCTGCAGCTTATATCCATTTTTTCCCTTGAGGAATTACATTTTCATGTCAGCTTCTTCACTTAAAACATTGTTTTAATGTTAGAACTATTTATGCATTCTGTGTCACATTAAAGTGATGGAATATATATATATATTAGTTTGAGAAATTATAAACCACTCATCTCTCCTTTTTAAAGTATGCCTAGTTTTTCCAATTTTTATCAAAAAGCACCAACATTCAAATGGACAATTACAATACTGAAAAAAGAAATGTAAATAATAATGTATTTTAAAATGAAATTTAAAAAGCATGAGAATCTCCTTTTGGTAGCATGACTACATAGCATAAATGTTTTGAACAGTTTTGCAGAGCCTTTCCTACGATGAGCCTCTTCCTAAAATTATCAGTGCTGTGTCTAGGTTGCATGGGGCAGCTGTGTCTAAATATATTTACTGGTCTCTTAAAAACAAAACAAATTTCTCTTGCTATGCCTCTTTACTTGGCTTCCTATCTTTTGTAAAAGGAAATGGTCTGGAAAGAAAATCCACACTGCCAGAACTATGAACAGCTTTGTGAAAATTAGGGAGGCAAATAAATTAGGAGGCAACCATATAAAAACCCCAGTGGAACAGTCTACATGGGGTTCATCTATGTGAAATGCTATGAATCAATGCAGTAGGCAAGACAGAAACCATTATGTGGAGAAGAAGAGGATTGGAGGAAAGAAATGGGGGAAAGAAAAGGACAAAGAAAAGCTGGAAGACCTGGGGACAAATTGAGGAAGAACTAAGATTTCAGATCAATTCATAGGGTTTGAAATATCCTTCATGTAAGCTTTAAGATAGTAAACTGATATTGTAGGGATTATAGTTTGCCTGTTTATTCTGTCGAGTGAGTTGAAATTTCATGGATAAGAATTTTTAAAAATCATCCCATGAAGCAATCAAAAACATCTTAATAGCATCTATCACTACTATGTCCCTCTTAAACCTGTCCAGAATGTTACTAGCCATTGACATTGTTGGGTTCCTACTAAGGACTAGCCCTACATCATGCTGCCTACAAATATCAGCAGCATTTCCTGGCTCTTGGGTTGTCATTGCCAGATATCTCTGCAAAGTGCAAACAGCCTTTTCACGGTACCAGAAAGTAAAAGGCAGGCATATCACCAAAATTAATTCAAGAATTTTCAGCAGTAGTTTTATTCCCATGTTAATGTAACAGCTGCAGAATCTGGAAATGCATCAAGAATGGAGATGCATAGAAAACTGGTCATATTTGAGAATAAGTGTCAGTGAGGAGTCCTTGAAGAAGAAAAATCATTTGCCTAAGAACGAAATATTGCCATCTGCTTGTTCTTTTCCAGGAACAAAAGTCATGAATTGATATAATTTACTGAAGCTAACACTGCAATTTTATAAAATTTTATTCTGAAGTCTGAACTATAGAATTCAGAGAGATTTTTCCCCAAATGGCTGTGTATTGCACAAATGGAATATTCCAATTCAAAGCTAAAATTAATCCAATTTATGGCTAATACAATTTCTCTCTGACATACTTTTTGCACTACAGGCTTTTTTGACCTAAAATCTTTTCCACCACTGATGTTTGATACTGAACCAAAATGGAATTTCAGTTGAAGTCCTGCCAATCAAGGAACCACTCAAGGCATTTTACCAGAAGAAAAGACTGATAACCTCTCACAAAAAGATTTAAGTTTTTCAGTTAAGAGATAATGCAAATTAATTTTGGCTTAAGGTGTTGAATAAGCCTAGAAAATATAAGTTTAATTAATAAATCATGGTTAAGCAAATCAAGGCTTAATGCACTGAGAACCTCTCACCGTCTGCAGTATTGGAGGTTTTCCCCAATGTTGTAATGTGTGTTTTATACAGCTAAATCACAAATAAGAGGATGAACAAAAATGATAAAGTCAGAAGTGAGCAGAATTTTCCAGTAGATACATAGCCTCCTGGGAGTGGTTTGCTTTCCCACAAAGTGACAATATAAGGATGGGTGGGTGGTTGCCAAGGTGAAACTCAAGTTCTAACCAACCATACCCCAAATTGTAACATTTTTGGGATAGTTAGGTTTGTGGAAGCAGAATATGTAGAGAAGTGTAGAATGCATGAAGCGATGAGAGAAAAACAATGGGTTGTTTCATTCTGTTTATCACCCAGCATTTCATTGGATAAATGGGCAGACTAGACATATGCATTTGATGAATAAATAATAAATGTGTATGGCTGGATGTCTCAACCAGCAATGAGGGTGTCACATTTTGTACCAACTGCAGTTTCTGGATCTAGCATAGGTACAACCCCACATGGAATACATTACTGTACAGTAATTAAATATGAAACAGCCATGTGGACAATTGTAACTAGGTCATCCCTATCCAGGCAAGGGCATAGTCAGTATATCAACTGAAGATACAGTATAGCTCCTAATAAAAGTAAAAACAAACCGACAGAGCCATGATAGTGAACCTATGGCGTGCGTGCCAGAGGTGGCACACAGCGCCCTTTCTGTGGGCATGGAAGCCGTCGGCCCAGTTCAGCTCTGCCGCGCATGCGCCTCCCGCCAGCCAGCTGGTCTTCAGGTCTCTGCCATGCATGCACGGGAGGCAGGGTGCGTGCAGAGGCTGCACGCACATGTGGGGGCTGCATGCATGCATGCAGGGGGCATGGGTGTGCACACGTGGGGGGCTGTGCATGCATGCACAGGGGGCATGTGCAGTGGTCACAAGCACATTGCATTTTGGGGATTTGGGCGCGCACGCACATTTGCACACTCATGCGCACACGGTCTGGAAAAGATTAGCTATCACTGCGTATGTTAGTATGTTACACTTACACCTTATTAGGGATTGAGGTACATAATCTGAGAAATTCAAATCTTGCTCAAAATTACATTGATTCCATATAAACTTTCCCTTTGGGAGAAAGTAATCATGGTGGTGGACTGCTTCCAAGCATTCTTTAGTCGAGTTTTTCCCCCCAATCCTTCTAGAGTGGATATACTAGAAACAGAGAATTGGTAATGACTGAATAGGTCATCAAGCCCAATTTCCTTTGTACTGCTTAGTTCTCTGCCGTCTTCTTGAGTGCATCCACTGACTGGGTATAGACACATTATTAATAGTGATCATCTTCATCTTGAAATCAATTGGAGGAAATATTCCCTGTTGATCCTTTAGGACTTCTCCAAAATTCTGGCTTTGATAGAGGAAAATTTCCCATTATTATTCTGGGCAGTTAGAATTATTCATTGTGATTTTAGATTTGTCTCTCTGTTGGCTTCATTCATATGAAGTCCTTAAAAGTTCACTAGTTGATATGTCAACGTATCTTTATAGAACTAATCTATGGGGTGGGTTTCTCATATTTACATATTTGCTGTTTGATCTTCTGTTTCATTTGTCATTCATTTCATAATTTCAATATATTCTTTACATGCAAGGTTAATCTTTGATATGAACAAGATTATGGATCAGATTAATGCTAAAATGTAAACTATATTATTTGTTATGCTTTTTCTTTTTTGTTGTTAAAAATAAAAGCAAGCATCATGCTAATCCTTAACTGACTCTATAATATATAAGTACAGATGAACTGATTGAAGCTTTCACTACAACTCTCAGGTAAGACTCCCTCATTTGGCAACTGCCACCCCTGGGCCATAAATCACTCGTGTGCCACTATGGCCACCTGTGACCTATCCCCCCCCCACCTGGCAGCATCCAACTCAGAGTTTGAAATCGTTCATTCTCATTTATGAACTTGCCTGCCAGCCTGCTTGCAAGCCACCTGGGACTTGCAGCTTCCTGCTGGTTTCCCTACTGAGTTTGGTTGTGGGAAGGCGGCAGGAGATTGTGAGGAGGTCCTTGCTTAATGACCCACAATCCTGGTTTAAAGACAACAACTGGGAGTGGTGGAATTGCCATTGCTTAAGTAATGTGGAAGCATGACATTGCATTTTAAAGACTGCATCGCTCAGCAATGGAAATTATGTTCCCAATTAATGTCATTAAGCAAAGACTAGCTGTTCCTCCAAAATTCAACACTTTCCACATCTAGAATCCTAGGCAATAGCCTAATCACCCACTCTTAATATTGATCGTTTGCAGCATTGCTATCATTTAGAGAATTGTGTATATTATTCTTTATATAAGCTACTTTTAAAAATAAGATGTTGCTGACCAGTTGTTCTACAAACACTATACTTGACTACTGCACTATTTTTATATGGGCTCCTTCAGACTCAAAGTTATGCCATCAGTACTGGTTCACAATGTATATTTAGATTCAATTCAAGGTGGATGACAGAATTACTGGTAGCCTAGAATTCACTTGACTAATGGCCCACAGTAATAAAACCTACAAGATGACAAGTTAGAATTATGATATTTAAAAACAGGCCTCCTCTATGATGATCCCATGCTCTGAAATAACTTATCTTTATGGGTAAGAAACCACAGTCGTCTAACTTCATTAAGGAGGCGGTGTCCCCCAGGTGCCGTCTTATCTACTTGGTTGATTTAGTACTGAGGCAAGCAATATTTTGTGACTGATAGACACATTAAGAAGCACTCTTGGGGAAAAAAAACTATAATAAAGATGTGACAATCACATCCATTTACTAGTGAGCAAACTAGTGAGATTCCTCACTTCCTCTTCAGCTTCCAGC